GCCATCCAATCCAATTTTTCCTGTCCTTATTTTCACTTAGCCTCCATTTATTCATTTATATTTGGCCCCTAACTTGGGAACTATACATAGATTATTAATTTTACAAAGAGTTCTGTAATAATAAAACAACAAAAGACAAATTCCTAGTAAGGTACTTTACATGAATTATCTCATTAACTCTCCAAAATGATTTTTTAAGGTAAATAATATTTAAACAAGTTTAAAACAATTTACAACAGCTTGAGATATAATTCATATATCTTAACATCCATCTATTTAAAATGTACAAACTAGTAGATTTTAGTATACTGACAGACCTGTGAAGCCATCACCAGGAACTAATTTTAGAAAGTTTTCTTCATCCCCAAATGAAACCCTGAACCATTAGCAGTCACACCCCATTCTTTCTTTCCTCCTTGTATCCCCTGGCACCCACTGAACTACTTCTTGTCTCCATGGATTTGCTATTCTAGACATTTCACATAAATGAAATCATACAATACATGAGCTTTCATAACTGTTTTTTTTAAATTTAACATGTTTTTAAGGTTCATCCAAATTGTAGCATGTATCCATACTTCATTCTTTCTTATTTACAAATGATGTTCTGTAAGGACACATCACATTTATTCATTATTGATGGGCATTTGGATTGTTTTCTGGCAATCATGATTATGCTGCCATGAATATTTGTGGGAAAGTTTGGTGTAGGCATGTTTTCATTCTCCTGGGTATACACCTAGGAGTGGAATTACTGGCTAGTATCTTAACTCTATATTTAACTTTTGGAGGGACTGCCAAACTGTTTTCCAAAGTGGCCACCCATTTTACATGCCCAACAGCAAAGAATGAATTTCAATTTCTTCATGTTCACAATACCCCTTGTTAATTGTCTTTTAGCTAGGTTAGCATGTGTTGTGGGCTTGATCTGCATTTTCGTAATAACTAATGTTGAGCATCTTTTCATATGCCTGTTGGTCATTTGTACTTCTTTAGAGAAATTTCAACTCACATCCCTTGCCGATTTTTTAATTGGGTTGTCTTTATTTTTTATTGTAAATGTTCTTCATATATTCTGGATACTAGTATGATTGGCAAATATTTTCCACCATTCCATGGGTTGTCGTTTTACTTTCTTGATGATGTCCTTTGATGCACAAAGTTTTAAATTTTGAAGAAGCTCAATACATCTTTTTTTTCTTTTGTTACTTGTGCTTTGGATGCCCTAAGAAACCACTACCTAACACCAGGTCATTAAATTTATGCCTATGTTTTTTTCCAAGAAAAGTTTCTTAGTTTGGCCCTTAGGTTGAGGTGTATGATCCATTTTAAATTAATTTTGTATGTGTTGTGTTTACCTTATCTTACAGAGGAGAAAACTAGGCAAAGTGAGGCTAAGCAATCTTCTTACAGTATGCAAGGGGCTGGCATAAGATACAAATCTAAACAATCGGGCTACCGAGTCTGCACGCTTACCCACAATGTTACACTACTTCTATAATGCAACTGAGTTCTTTAGCTTCTGTCAAAATACACATAAGTTAATAGATTATGTAATTTTGTTCTTCAAATTATTAGCAGGTAGAGGATGTAATGGGAAACTTGTAAGGGAAACATCAATACTGCCCCAAAAGAGATCATCAGGTTTCTGCTTTATCCAAAGAAATGATGCAAAGACACATGAAAACTTTAGAAAGCAAAGCCAATATCTTCATGCTATAATATGCAGTCTCTATAGTGGAAATGGTTTACTGCTTTTACAATTAACCTGTTCCTTTTGGTAATCAAAGTCAGAAGAGAAAATTTCACCAAATATTTCCTTTCCTCAGTGTACCAGATTTATGTTCACTAACTTTATTAACTTATATTTTTTCTTAAAAACATCTCTCCTTATCAACGAATTTCACCGGATCTGTACTGTTGGAACTCAATCAGGAGTTGGGAGGGGTGCAAGTTGTAGCACTCCAAAATCTTACGACGATAGACTGTCTACGGTTAAAAGAACATATGGGATGTGAACAGATCCCAGAAATGGGCTGCTTTAATTTGTCTGATTTCTCTCAGACTGTTCAAGTACAGTTGGACAATATCCATCATATCATAGA